GGGAATTGATATTCCAAACAAATTATTAGGACACAGTCGGTGGACCTTTCAAACAAATGAAATTATCAACGAAAGACGAGATTTTTCTAGATATTTACAAACAAATATATACCAAATATATGCAAAATAATATGAATTTACGACATCAGTGAACCAAAGCCGTCAAGAACACCAGGGAATATTGGGATGGACCTTCTCCTTATAACGTTATCTGCAGTACCAATTTTACACCCGAATCATTTATCAGTACAATTTCATTTGTTTCGATCTTGCAGTTGTATGTATTCGTCCTACCGGAAATAGAACACGCGATCTATCGGACGCACACAAATTTACATTTTAGAGTGCAGATTTTCAAACATTATTGATACATTGTTTAGGTGGAGTTTAATAAAAATAACAACGTTAAGATTTTCGGTCACGATGTTCAAACATGTGCCTGAACCGGGTGCCTGAATCGTCATGGTCATTTTGGGGAGGTACACGGTCACCCACATCGCATACTTTTTGTCCCTGGTACTCTAAAACAAAATCGTGACATCTCTCGTTGTCATCATATTCCTCGATCTCACAACTCTCGTCAGACGATGATAAGATAGATTCTGTGTCGCTTTCTGAGCACTGCATGCGTATAGCGGCCATTGTGAAACGATGACAAGTTCCCCCCGTGACGTCACAAATCACCCTTGTATGCTAATTAGGTTTTCTAGCTGAAGCCTCGTTCTGAGTCGGCCAAGAAATTGGACGTGGATGTTTCCTTATCCAGAACATTATTATTGATCGTTTATTTAATTTATGTACATTTTTCACTTGATTTTTTTTCATAATGTTGTTTATAAATAAATTTTGCACACAAAAAAGGTAAATTGTCCCAATTCAGTTACACTTTAAGGTAGCAGAATAGTTTTTTTGGCACTTTTCACATTTTTTTTTGAAAATCACACCAATAGCTCCCTAAGGCATGCTACATGCATTGGTGTATTTATTTTATTGAAAAAAAAATATCTTGTACAAGTAAACTGGTTTTTTTCATGTTTGCAAACAAATTGCCGAGTTTTTGTTTATCCAGTGTACACCCAACTAGTGCATCTCATTAATATGCATGGTTTACAAACATAACTGAACTGAGGGTAAATAGTTTTAAGTTGGGCCACTTTCCTTATTTGCTATTTACAAACAACTGATAAGATATCTGTTTGTAGTTTACACACAGCTGATAAGATGTGTGCACTGCTGCTTTTTTAGATGAGGAAGTACAGCAAAGACAAAACAATCGCTTTTGAAACAACGAATTTTGAATAAACAAAAAAGTACATGAATGTACCACTTCAATGTAATTATGCGTTAACAGAATAAAAATTTAGAAAAGTTTATATGATCCCCATGTCAAAGGAGTTTTCACCAAGTAGGCATACTTGCATGCTTTGGTTTTTCTAAATTCCTAAATTATGTTACATGTAATAAATCTGTCTGATAAATACTTGGTTGTTTTATCTAATGTACTCATGCGAACAAAATGCACGGCAACGAAATAGTAGCGTCCCCCCCCCCCCCAGGCCGACGTCTGACATCGGATATGGGCCAGTGTTTCACGCAAGGCAAGGGTTGACTTTTTCGTACGACTTTGGTAAAAAATAAAAGTGTCATCTAAAATCTAGGTAGTTTTTATAGGTGATAACAGTGAGTCCGGTTACAATTAAATTTTGAAGAGATTCATCTACAAGTATAAGACCGGAGGTTACTGCGACGGTAAAACTCTGTTTTGCGGGATTTAATTGTTAATAGCACAGGAAATGCTACATGCCGGCATACACCACTGGGTCACATTTTACAATTATTTCATTCACACCAATTAAAAAGCAGGGCAGCTTCCTTCATTAATGTGCAAAATATGCAAAGAAGGAGAGGGTCATCAGTATTTTTTAGTTTAGT